GCCACAGTTTCCGTAGACTCGTGAACACGCTTTTAGGAAATCCTATACACTACTGTTTATGCTCTAAAAACATTCTAAATGACTTCGTTTCGAGTAAATTCTGGATGCTACCCACTCAGGACACTTGGAATACATTGGACGAGCAGTATGGAGGAATATTGACACGTTTTTTGTGGACTTTTATGAACCTTTCTGTCTTGGGCACCATAGACCTCCATTATTTGAATGTCAGCAGACAGCAAGAAGCCTCCCAGATCTCCAGATGCATTTGAGAAAAAAAGTACAAAAAAGTACTCCAGGGCGTTGTTCAGCATGGGGGTGAGTAGAAAATGAAGGCTAATCATGTTTTGGGTGTACTATTCCTTTAATGTGACACAACGGTAAAATTTTTCATAACCTTGAAGTACATTTGAGACCATATTTTCAATATAATTGTATATTAAAAACTAATTTCAATATAATTTACCTCTATCTGAATGACAACAGTGCAAATAACAATATTTAACCAGTAAATGTCTCCTAGAGCTCCCCCTCTGGTATCTTCATGTATACTGTTCTTGGTCTGAAAGGTTTTTGTATGGCATTGCAGCATGTTTATGTCACTGTGGTTGTATCTGGCACAGTAATACATGCCAGAATCTCCAGGCTGCAATTTCTGTCCATTCAGGGTCACTGTTGTATTGTGGTCCAACCTTCTCCTGCATGACCAATCCACTCCAGTCCCTTTCCTGCAGTCTGTCTGATCCAAGCTGTCAGAAAGCTGCTGAGAGAATAAGACACCTGACAGCTGATGGTCAGATGTTGACCTGGCTGAAGCGTCAGAGTGGCTGGCTGAGTCAGCTGTTCACACTTTACACCTGTAGATAAAAACATGACAAAGGACAAGGAAAAATTAAAAGTGTACAGTAACATTTCGGCATCAGAGAGGTTTGATCTGCTGAAACTGTTTCTGTCTCAGTCAGACTCACAGGATGCTGCAACCAGCAGCAGCAGCAGAGCTACAGAGAACATGTTGGTGTTGAAGGTGACTGTATTGGTGGTTCTCCACATCTGAACCTGACAACTACAGATGAAGTCTTTAAGGCAAACTGCTAATTTGCATAAACAGGTATTTACTGCAGTGTTTTTTTATCAGTGGTTGAATAATTATTTGCCTGTTCTTTTTGTTGCACTAAGGAATGATGCCTGAATTTGGAATAGAATAGAATTCAACTTTATTGTCATTGCACTGTCACGAGTACAAAGCAACAAATTGTGGTTTGCATCTATCCAGAAGTGCTATACAGGATATACATATTATTACAGGTGTATGTACAAGCAAAAAGTAATAGTTAAGGACTGTAAAAAGTTGTGTATAAATATAAGTATAAATA